CAGCGTATCCCAGATGAGAAACTCACGCCATTGCAATTATTTTACGCTGGTGCATTTAGCGGCATATTCACAACTGTTATAATGGCACCTGGTGAACGTATTAAATGTCTATTGCAAATACAGCATGCAGACGCGAAGCCAAAGTATAGTGGACCTTTGGATTGCGCAAAACAATTGTATCGAGAAGGAGGCATCAGAAGTATCTATAAAGGCACCTGTGCTACGTTATTAAGAGGTATAATTCTCATATTTTGTTACATACAGTTCCCAAAAATCATATATATTTATAAAATTATGTTTAAAAATGTTACACTTGCATGTACCAAGTAGAAATTTGTCAGAAGAATTGAACTGGAAATTTTCACACTTATTACATATTTTAAAATGAAGGATCAAAATATATTTTTAAAGGAGACAGATTCTAAAAATTTTGAATGTATTTTTCTTTTATTAATCCTCTGTGTATTTCAACATATACATACAATTTGAAAAGAGAGATTAGCTAACTGATATTGTTATCCTCTTCAAAGTTTCTCGTTTTTAAAAATTTTCGGAGATACCTTTTCCTCGGGTTTCTGCATTGTAAACCACCTTTGCGCAATGCATAGAAGACACCCCAATTCTGTAATCGTTTCGGCGTTGAACAACGTGGAGCTGTTTCCTTATTTCTGTTTACCTAAAAACGATGTTGCATAAGCTATTGTTAACGAATTTTGTATGATTAATATATTAATATTTATTAATATATTAAAATTGATTTATTAATTCTGTATATGTATTTCTTTTCTATTTATAATTAAATCATTATAAATGGCTTTAAACAGTAGAGATCAAATATGATAATAACTATAAATTACCAGATTAGGATTCCAGCTGACCATGATACACGCACAATCCCAAGGATTATCGTCCAATCTTATATTTTGTACACGTGTTTGTTTATTTGGCAACCTCAAATTTCTAAAGAACTCTAATGGTAGCGAAGTTAATTTGTTCTTTGTAAGTATAATATCTCTCAATTCCTTCTGCTGTTGAGCAGTGAATAAACCAGGCGGTATAGATTCCAGATCATTATTTGATAAGTCAATTCTCCTAACTTTTTCCAAACCATAGAAAGCATCCATAGAAATTTGTTGAATATGACAATGACTTAGATCGAGATCCAACAAATTATTAAGATCGACAAAGGCATCAAAATCGATGCTCGTAACGTTTCCTCGCATCTTAAGGTGCGTCAACGATGGCAATCCTTGCATGATGAAACGTTCTAATATAGGTATCTCTAGATTGTACAAGTGCAATATCTCAACTCGACGTAGACCCAATAACGAGTTCTTCTGGAGTTTCAATTTAGATGCCATACCTCCGAGATACAATTTTATTGTCGTATTCATGATCTCGAAAGTACTAAAATGAACATACGATAATTTTCAGCTTTAATCATGGAAACAAATCACATGTAGTATTATTTATTACCTTGGAAAAATTGAATCCAGAGGATTGTCCGTGAAGTCAGCGCTCACGAGTGCTGGGAATGGCGGAAACGATAACTCCGACAGGAACGTTAAATTATTTTGTCTTAAATCCAGATGTTCTAGCAGAAGCAATCCTGCCAGGTCTACGCTTTTCAGTGTCAGTAATTCGTTACTTGCCAGTGAGAGTGATCGTAAATTTGGTGTGCCGTAAAAGCAAAATTCAGGAATGAATTTCAGGCCGTTTTTTTCTAGTGAGAGATAAAGCAGACTATTGAGGCCGTCGAACATGTGCCAAGATATATCTTTCAGAGTACAATCATAAATTCTTAGATGCGTTAAAACACCAAGCGCAGCAAACAGCTCAATATTTTCTCTATAGCCTTCCAATTCTTGCTTATAGAGGTCATATGGCAGTATTTCTTTATCTTCGTTATTCTGCTGACTCAGAAAAATAAGTCTGTGACCTTTATATTGGCTGCTATTGCTTACAGGCACCTGGTTTTCGTCGACTGTTTCAGTCTCCTGCGAATTCATCGGTTTGATCACCAGATTTGCCTTGTCCTTGTTTGGTAAATTTAAGTTCGACAATTTAACTCGTTCCAAATTTAGATATAATAAAGTAGATCCGAGAAGATACAATGTGTCAGATGCGAGAATAATGCCGCCTTTTTCTGTACGATTATTCGCTTTCGTGGAGGAATCGCTATAATCTATCCCTTGAATGTCTAACGATATTAATTCGGTGAATCGTTGGAATGTAGTAGCTTGCAGAAGAATGTCGACATCCCCGCTACCCGATTCGAGTAATGTCAGAACCTGATGAAACGCCAAGATGAGAGAGTTAATATAAAGAGATATGTAAACTTATGAAATTAGATGTGCTTTTCATATGACCTGTATATCTGAAGGAAGTTTAGCCAAAAGTTCTTCAGGGTTGTCAACAATCACGCATGTTGCGATTTTCATCAATTCATGAACCATTGAATTGTCATTTATATTAAAATCAGCATCGTCAGAAGATATGTCCTATTTGATTGAGGACGTATTAAAATCACGGAAGCGAATACGTTAATTGTCATTTGCTCATACCTGATTATTATCTTTGTTTGTGTCAGCCCATTGATGTAGAGACAGGTCGGAATACTTTTGGATCTCACAGGTACATCCCTGCGGGCATTTAATCTCCCACACATCACCAATATCGATAACTTGTCCTATACACTGATCCTGAATACAACGCAATTCGAATCAATGATTTTATATTGCGACTTATAAAATTCAAGCTTACAGATTTCTTATGGTTTTTAATTTATCTTACAGCGTTGAATCTAGTTTGAGTTTACAGTAGTCATTCTATGTATATATCAATATATTAAGAATGATTCATAATCGGTTCTTATTTTGAGTATCTTAAATGTCTTAAGATGCTGATACGTCTCAATGGCCGATATTCATAATTCTTATTTTAAGACTGTTTTAAGTAATGTTTTAAAAAACGCTAATGTGGTTCTCTGATTGATTCATGATATCTTAAGACTGTACTTAAGATGATCTTAAATATAAGAACTGATTATGAATATCGACCTGAATGTGTCGATACGCGTCACGTGTACAAAATAATTACATAGAAAACGAAGTTGGATTTATTAACGGAGCGCACAAGGTGTTAAAATTTGTATGTACCAATGATAAGACGGTGAAAAGCAAGATAACAAATGTCATGTTGTTTCACTTTATAACGATTTGGAATTGGAGCACGATACTTGGAACCAGCGGCAGCACACTGGTCCGAAGGAAACTGGATTTTGTTAACTGTTATCTATATGCTTTGATGTGCTTCCTATCAAACAGGATGCCTTCTATCTGCCAACCCACACGCTATCTACTCGCTATTATTAATTCTACATAATGTTTATATGCCATCTTTGGTTCGCACAAGGATACTTGAGCGGTTCCTAATTTATTGTGCCTCCATGCTTTTTTTCAGATATTCCAGCCAGTGGAATGTACTTTTTAACATACGAATATCTAAAGGAACGGTTTACTCCAGAGGATGGGAAACTCAGCTTACTGGCTACTATAACGGCTGGTGGCTTTGCGGGCATCGCAAACTGGTTGGTGGGAATGCCACCTGATATCCTGAAAAGTCGCCTACAGACTGGTACATATATACTTCTAGAGTCTTTTTTCTTTCATAATTTTAATTAAAGCCTATTAAAGTTATAATTAATTAACAGGTATATAAATATGCAATGTAATATTTATCATCGTACATTATTTTACAGCACCAGAAGGCACGTACAAAAGTGGTATACGCGAAGTATTTGTTAAATTGATGAAAAACGAGGGACCATTAGCGCTTTATAAGGGTGTCGTACCTGTTATGCTACGAGCTTTCCCTGCAAATGCAGCCTGTTTTATGGGCTTCGAAATTTGCATGAAATTCTTGAACTGGATTGCGCCAAGTTTATAACTTAAACCGAACAATATAATTATATAGAATATTTTAAAAAGATTCTATTTCTCGAGATCTATTGCTCCCCTTATAGTACAATTCAGAGACTCGATAGATGCAGAGCGATTAATTTTACCGCGACAGAAATAAATTGCATACATTTATTCTTGCCTCAAAGCTTTATATATATGTATATGTGTGTATATATATATATATATGTGTGTATATATATATATATATATATATATGTGTGTATATATACATATGTGTGTGTATATATATATATATATATATATATGTCTCGAGAATTATATAAATGTCAAAATGATGATCTACATGAAGTATTAGAACGATAAATAGATTTTGACTTTAATTTTGCCATGTATGTACGTAAGAAACAAACAAATGAAAGTATAACGTCAGGGTATAACATATATTTGTGTACAACTTGTTTTGTAAAGCATTATAAATATATATATATATATTCAATGTTGTAAACATATCATATGTCGTGATATGAATAATTCTTAAGTAGTACATATTGAAAAAGACTGCTCAATAACCTCAATGGTACATGTGCAAATTTTAATATTACAAATTTATTATATATTATACAGTTTGAATATAAAACTTTATTAACGTAACAGTATATATACATTAGTTACATTCGTATATTGTACACTTTATTGCATATTAGGAAATGTACAATAAGGATTTTAATGGACTAATTTTATCTCTAATATACTTTATATACAAGATTTTTTTTTTTTGAGGAAGATCGTACACAATATACATATATAACAAATGAAATAAATATATATGAATGTAAGTAAATAATTATAATCTCTGGGAAAATGTATTATCGTACAAAATAAAATTTTCTATTCTGTTAACTTATTTTTTTCACAACAATTTTTGTCATCCCTAATTTTGTGAATTGTTTACTTGTAAACAATTGCGTAATACTATTTTGTTCAAACTATTGTGCGTGTTGTCAAATTTTATAAACACAGAATACAAATTATTTTTTCGTAGAAAAAGATTTGATTAGTAGAATTACGGGATGAAAGTAAAATTTAACAAATCCAATAGTTTTTAGATCTGAATAAAGAAATGATGTAACTAGATCTGTATATTATGATTCTATCCTCATGTACTTCATTGAATTTATCCAATAAAAAATTCCCCTGAGTCTCTTCATTTGTTATGATAATTTACATAATAATACACAATAGCACGCTGTTCTTCTATCAATTATAGCAGCAGTAGTGATCACTCTTCCCAATCATCCGTATCAGGTTGAGAGTCATATTCGCTGGTGGCGGAATTTCTGTCCGATGCAGACGCTTCAGTCGGTTTTGGAGGAGGCGGTATTAAGCTTGACATTCTCTCCAAAGCGCCTACCGTAGAACCAGCGATACCTTTACGTCTCAACGCTAATTTTGCATGTAGATCCGCCATCAAATCACCTCCTACCGAAGCCGAAGACCACCGATCACGCTTCTTTTCGTCCGGTACAGTAGGCCTCAATTTCGCTCTGCCTATTCCGCCAGCGTCTCGTATCGCCGCCATCAAATTAGAACGATCATCCGTTATAGTTGTCGCAGGCGGACGGTTTGGTGTTTTGTCCTTTTTCTTCGAACTATCATTTGACGTAGGCACGGCCGGTTCTGCAATCGGTGGCGGTGGCGGTGGTGGCGGCGGTGGTGGTGGCGGAGGAGGTACCATAACTTGAAAATTGATTTTTTCGTTGTTCGCAGCACTATCTGCATTTATCGTGACCGTAGGAGGTGGTGGAGGAGGCGGCGCAGGTGATGGTGCAGTTATGGCTTCAGTTAGAACAGGTAAGTGTGGAGCACTATCTTCAATCTTCGACTGAGAGTCTCTCTCATCACTGATTGGTGTCGGTAGATCTAAACGAACGGTAGGCGTCGTGACCGCAGATGATGGTGCGATAGGACTTTGAGAGTTAAGATCGAGGACAAATTTCTCATCATCCACAATGCCAGGTAGATCTGGGAGCATTAACGGTACATTAATTTGAGGAACCTAAAAATACACAAAAATCTTCTGTAAGAATAAATCGTAAATTCAAGAAACGTAAGTATAAATGTTTTCAAATTGACATGAATTATATTGTTAAATGAGTTTTATTATTATATATTATATTATTTGATTAATTATATATTATTATATTTTATATATTATATGTTAATTATATTATATATTATTATATATAATTAATATATATGATATGAAAATCTGACCTCTCCAAGAGTCGGAGTATACAAATAACTGGAAGACGCGTCCATTTCTGACGAAAGCCACGGTTGTACAATCGAATCCGGAGCGTCCTCAATTTGCTGCTTATCGACAGATTGACGTGACGATCGCATGGACGTTTTTTCATATGGGCTATCCATACTATCGAACAGTAGGAGGGCACTAACTGAGGATAATTGTGGTGGGAATGGTTCTACATCATCCTCAAGGTTATCTTTTTTGCTAGGCTTTGATCGTACGTGATAAAATTGGAGCTTTTCTTGGAGGCTGACGTTCGCGGCATATTGGCCGTCCTCCGTCTTGCAATTAGAAGATAAATATGCTTCGGGGATATCTTTTATAGGCACGGAACATTTGTAAATGCTTGGTATAGCAGCGGTATGCTCGCGCTGTGGCGGTATGGTCATTTGATACTCCTTGTAAGTATGATTAGCCGGGTACTTAGCAGCAGAATACATTTTTACTGCTTTCAGATTTAAATTAGTTTGTAAATAGTGCAATCTGTCCTCCAGCTTCCTGGCTCTTTCTTTAATGTTGGTCAATCTAGGGACAAATTTATTCTTTAGTAAATATTATCAATGAATCAATCAAACTTAGAATTAAGCAAGATAATAAAAACCAAGGTATTTTTTTTATTTTACCTTTGTGTGTTCTCTGAAAGCCTCCTGTCAATGCAATCAAATATATATGAGACAGCATTTCCTAGATTGTCTAGAGCTTCTGTTATTTGAACTATAGTCTCTTCGTGCCTCAAATTATTTGGAATAACACCTGAAATTTAATAATATCAGATAATCAGAATGTAATAATAACACAAGATAATAAATGAACAAAATGTATAATATAATGAACAGATATATTTATTAATATCTATGTGTTACAAGACAAACAAAATAAGTTAATAATAATTAAATACAAATGTAGAATCCAATAATGATTATAAATAATTACAATCATTGTCAAACTATACATACACATTGTTTTCAACGAAAGTGTTTCAAACTCAAGAAAGTCATTTAGCACATTTAAATTAAAGCTTTAATTATTTTAATTTTTTCTTTGTCCTTAATATGAGATTATATATCGTTCTTTTATCTCCTCCTTTCTCAATCAAGTCCAGATACCATCTGGACTGCTTGCTCATATTTTTTAAAATAATCCCGTTATTACTTTTTAAATTCTTTGGAATAAAATCTCACTCTAAAGTGTAAAAATTGAGCCAGTCTTAAAAAAAAAAAGAGTGAAATTCACTCCCCAAGTTTTAAAGAATAGGTTATGTTGCATTGTGTAAATAACGTAACATGCGGATTTGTATGTCGCGAGCGGAAAGTACCACAAAAGCCGGGATTACACGTACCAATCTCGATTCTTTCTGGCATCCTGATCTCGCGGGAGAATCGCAAAGATAGTTGTCTCACAAGGCAATAACGCACATCACATGTCACGCGGGACGTCGACGTGCTGAGATGCCGACGTGTCCTGAATTACAGACACGTGAATTACGTTAACTCCTTGGCTATCCCAGGTGTACGCCGCATGACATCCACCTCAGATCAAATTTCTTAAATTCAACGACGGCCGACGAAGCACTGTGAGATAACATCGCCTACGTCCAGCATTGTTAAATTGCGTTTTTATTACTTGCACTTTTTTTAGTTGCACGCTGTACTTTTTATGCTTAAATGACAAGATATATAATTGGAGAGAAGAAGAGAAAAATAGAAAAGGAGTTCAGGTACAAATAACTTCTGCTTTTCCCTATGGGATGATGAGGGTGGGTGGCATTTGACATCAACGCCTCAATATACTTTGGACGATGAAAGTGTGAATCGAAACGAACTTTAAGTTTGGAATCAACCGAGCAGGTTCGTTTCTAAGATAAATAACTCGTAAGTAAAAAAAAAAATACTTGCTGCATACCAGAAACATAAAGAAAACTCTGGTGAAAAAATTTCAATATTTCATATTTTGTACGAATTTTTTTATTTCAAATTTATGAACAAAATTTTTAAAGAATATTCTTTAAACTTTCTCAGGTTTTATAAGTTTTCTTCGGAAAATATAATAGAATACTTAATTTATTTTATATTCGATTTTTATTCATACGTATAAAAATTCTAGAAAATTTAGAGTATTTTAATATCTAATTCATGTAAAAAAATTTGAGAACTTTTTTTAAATTATAGAATAATTGTGAAAAATTCCCCTTAACATAGAAAAATTCTGAAAAATTATCTAAAAAGAATTTTAAGAAAATTTTTATTAGGGAATTATTTGATTTACACATATATTATTAGTATATAAAACCATTTCTTAATTTTGCATTTTTAAAAATATTTTAAATGCATGGACCCTCCCATGCATTGCATACTTTTGTTCTTGTCTGGAGCGATATATTATAGTTCTAGGATATCGCAAGTAAATAAAATGTAAAGGAGCAGCGAAATATGCAAATAAATAATACAATGAATATATGACCAACTTATCGTGTTAAAATTAAAATAATGTATAGTTATATTACATATAAATTTTTTTACACGAGCATTGTAAATTTTCTTAGCTTAGCGTTGGGGATCACGATAAGACATTTACAAGAACATAAAAACTTTATTGTGGTCCATAATATCAGGTATAGTAATTACACGAAGAATTGAATATCTGCGATGTTTAACGCTAGTAAAATAAAAGATCACAAGAATATACAATGCATAATTCCAGTAAGCAAATTATTCGTCAATATGCCAGCAAATTGGTAACAAATTCGATGAAAAATTGCTAGCAAATTGGTATCGATTGTATCCACATTAAGCTCGTGTTTCGCCGGCTGAGCCTGCTAACATAATTTGACAGTAAATTGGCGATAAAAATTGAATAGAATCTGTCAAATTCTACTTTATTTCTGGATATTTTAGTTCTACGATGAATTGTATAGGAAGTGTTAAAATTTACTTGATTTCTGTACCATCAATCTGCCATATTATATTACATTGATAAATTTTGCTAATATAATAAATGTCTGCCAGCATTTTGCTAAAAGCATTGTATATATATATATATATATATATACCAGATCCTGTATCAAAGTATTTAGCTTTTGTGTCGAAAATTTATTGCAGACACTTTGTAAAATTTGTTCTCGACAGACTTGGCTGTCCGGAATCTCTTTTTTTTTTGCTTCTGGCTACTTTCGATGGCATTGATCAAGATAATGTCATACGAATCGATTTAGCTTATGGTGACAATCATTCTCACGATGATCCACAACAGAAAAGTACAGAAAACATTGACAATACTGGACGGACTAAACACTCTCGCATTACGAAGCGAACAGACAAAATACCTAGCGATTTTAAATTGTAACGTAATTAAAAAAAAATGTTACATTAATCTATTTACTCGCTACAATTATTTACACGATGAACAAGAGTACACGAATATGTTACGCAGATATCGTCGCAATTTTCGCCACAAAATGAATTGACTTGTGAAGCACGTTGCTATTATTAAATATTCTCAAATTTAAGGATTAGGCTTAAGTTTCCGGGGGAGACCTAAAAAAACATACGACGTACTTCTCAATCATCCGTTTGTTTAATTCAGTCACTCCGTTTCCGCATAATTTCCTGCGGAGACAATGCAAGAATTAGGAGTCTAATATACTTTTTTACACAAAACTGCACTATCTTATTAATAATAACAGTATAATTCTCCTTTGCTCAACTACTGAAGTGAGCGGAGGCCCGTATTTACATGACTTATTTGGAGTCGCAATTAAATCCGTTTCTGAATATTATTTATTCAGCAAGAAAAAATTGCATCAATGTGAGATTAAACAGGGTTAAAATCGTATACCTGACTTTGAAGTTGAGAGAAATGCCAGACCGAAGTCTGAGAATTTAGGGTTGACAACGTTACCTCATAAAAACAACTAGTTACCATTACCGTTCTTTTTCCTGAAAAGTAATTCGTTACCGTTACTCGTTACTGATTTGCAAAAGTAACTCGTTACCGTTTCTCTATTAAAAGATGTAACGAGTCGTTATTTTTTTCGTTACTTTTTTTATACTTATACAATATTATATGCAGATTTTTGCACTAAATATTAAAAAATATAACAGAGAATTCTATCTTCTAGTAGAAGAATAAAGGTCAAAAACTGAAATGTATGTATATATATATAAATTCTCAAATAAATTATTTACAAAATCATTACTCACAAATTAAACAATGCAGAATATTGCGTCTTGCAAAATCGTATCAACTGTCATTACATGATACGAAATATGTACTCGTATCGCAAACTACAAACACATGCAAGCAGCAGAAAGTTACAATAAAGCAAAGAACCTAACTTACATAAAGTAACGATAAAAGTAACTAATGAAATCGTTACTATTACCTCAAAAATGTAACTGCGTTACCAAAAACGTTACTCAGAAGAAAATATAACGCCGTTACCCATTCGTTACCGAAAAAAGTAACTTGTAACGGTAACGACGTTACAAATAACGCGTTACTTGCCAACCCTGTCTGAGATATTTAAAAGTGCATTGGATAATATTATGCAAAATATTACTCATGCTTTCTTTAACGAAGAAATGTATATATGTATAAGTATATCGCATATTAAAAAATAAATACGGTAAGAACACAAAAATACTTCGGAGTAGTAACAGACGCGTGCAATCGCTCGGGCTCGGGAACAAAAATCATCTCGAGGAAATTCAAGTACTTGGAGGCTGTGAGCAAATCGCATCGATATCGATTGTCGTTAAACGTCGATTGTGGTTAATGAAGTCTTCTCTCCATCTATATATTACAAGTAAAAATTACAGCTTAAAGAGGGAGGGGCAATGGAGTCATAAAGTCAATTGCTGGAGTCACTCGACCCGAAATGCCGATTTCGTGCAACCGATGTATCAGTCTATATCACAGAAACGGAACTCTCCATTTCGCTTGCAGTCTTCTTCTCATCGCCGTCGTTGCCATCGTCGTGATCCTCGCCGTCGAGGCGATTGCGGTCGCCGATCTGTTCATCAGGGACTAGAGGGGCGTCCTTCGATAAGATCAAGGAGTCCTCGCCGATAGGTGCAGCGGCTTCGACTAGATTTTCGACGGACGCCGCCGTCGTCGGTGCCTCGTGGCAGAAGCTCCTACGTAAGGAATGCTGCGTCCTCGCGGTGCCCCTACGTATACTGCTACGCAGTAGATTCGCCACGTCGGCGGCCGTCAAGTTCGAACCGGACATGGTATTCGTGGCAGCGTTCGCACACGTTCGGCGACCACGGTCGATCGTCGAGTGAGTGCGTTCGATCGTGCGCGATCTGCTTGCGATGCCGATCTTGCTGGCGCGGTCGATGGTGTTCGGCCGATGACGACGCTCGATCGCCGACACGTCCACGCTATGCCGACTGTCGCCAGTATTTGTCACGTCTGGTCGTGGCTCCGACAACACGTGGATTGCGACGTGATCGTGCGACAGCGGTACGCCACTCTGATTCATCTCCACCAGGACGGTCGCATAATCAGGAGGCGGTGGCTGCAACGCCGGTCTTTGTCGAGGCGCGCTGCTCTCCCCCAATACGTTCGCGATCCTTCGCACGCTTCGTCGGAAGCTCTGCCGTAACATCTTCGCGATTCGTGCTCCGGTCGCCGTTGTATAGCTTGGCGGAGGTGTGTACTTCGGCGGCGGATCTTCGAAAGGTATCTCCGTGGTTGCGGTGGGTAAGATTCCGTTCCCATGCAAGCTGGTGCTGGTGTCGTTTCCAATTTGAGTCTGAGCGTCGCGAGGATCCTCCGAATCCATGGGCCGACAAAGCAATTGAATTCTCTGCAAAAATAAAACGGATTGTTTCATTGAAGATGAATACGGTGCATTTAATTCAATATGAGTATTTTTATACATTTTACTTACAACTTTATGTATAATTGCTTATACAACGACTTATGATAAATTAATCCCGATAAACATGAAGAAATATTACATCAATATTATTATTTCTTACTCAATAACACAAACTGTTATATGTTACATTAAATTTATATTGTTGAGTGAGAAATTATAATTGCTGTAATGTTATACTATACTGTTACTTTGTGTTTATAGAGATATTATTAAAGAGCGTATTAATACACATCGTAAAGTAATGTCGCTACAACACCCGCAACATTAACACAGAAAGAAATTAGTGAGAACTTACGCCGTTACATTGTTCACAATGATTTATTGTTACTTCCACCTGTTCGCTCTATTGTCAGCAAGAACAGAAAGATAGTGTGATAGATATGTGTTAGTCATTAATTAGTGTGTACTGCTAATACTGCTAATAGCATACAGACATTGTACACAGGAGGGAGTGTCTGGTATAATAACCGTATCATACTCTACAAACAAGAATACTTACATCGAATATATCGGGTGGTCCGTTATTCAAGTATCGACACGCCTGTATGACAGACACCACCGGTATTATGAGTATCGGTGTCAATTGAATCGCCGTCCCGAGTTGCCTTGCCCACACAACCCAGTAATCTTTGCTCGTCCGACGATAAGAATACAGTTCCCAGAAGTCACCGCTCTTGAATACTATGATACTCAGAGCCTACGGAATACAATAATGATGACACGCACCGTTAACTGCGATTCAATAGCTTCGTTGTGTCTAACAAGAACTGCACTTACCATCAAAGTAAGAGGGAGAACAACGGTCCATGTGAAGGAGAGGAGAGGAGCGACCCAGTATTTGAGATATCGTCCATTTGGTGAGAATAACTCGGCTACGACTGCCTCGCCAGAATGTGGTCGTCCGCGGACCGCGAACAAAGCGACGATTTGTATTAGATACAAAAATATTATCCACCATCCACCACCGACGGTATAATCGAGATAGTATACGACATAAATACCCAACTGCAAACACATAAAATAACATATAATGAAGATAAAACTTAGAGAGTATACATTTATTAAAATTATTTATGAAAATATACATAGAAAAATAAAAATATTTTTTTAGTTTTAATGGTAAAATGATAATTAGAGAATTTCTATTATTTTAGTAATAGTAAAAATATATAATAAATATATATGTATTATATATATATATATATACATTTTCATTAAAATGATTACCATTTATTTCACCATTAATTTTGCCATTACTCTATCATTAAAAATATTACAGTTTATTAAACTACACTAATGATATTGTCGAAGCACTTGTTTTTATATCCTTCACTTGTATATCCAAAAATATAACGTTATTCTTAGTATAACCGGAATATCTGCTCAGTGTAGTATGGGGAATAAACATGTACAGTCCAGATTCCTTATCGGGATCCGAGTCACCCTTATCTCGGCCCACGGTTTTCACGATTTTTCTAACATCGTTTGCAGGATTATCTTGGTCTCGTAGGTTGACGACAGCTCTAAGAATACAGGGCCAATCTAGCAAGGGATCCCACTTTCCATTCTCTACGCGTAAACATCCGATAATGTGACGATCCTTCCACTGTCCTTTACCGTTCAAAAACAATTCCATTCTCAGAGTGTAACCATATTCCTTGTTGTGAAATATCGGACTATAGAGCGCGCGATCGCCCTCCTTTGCCTCGTTCATCTTTTCTTTGTAACGATCGATTCGCCATATAATATGGCCATTCGTTGAGGCATTCTCCACACCTTCGCAGGAACATAAACTCAACGATGGTTCCGGTCTACAATTTTCTACGATTAGTTCTTCGATATATTTCAGATTCTCCTTCATTTGAAATTTTAGACCTTTTATCTCCGATTTCCGTTTGGCCACGCTCTCGGCGTGCTTACAGATTTCTTTCGACAAATTATTCACTTTTTCTGATAAAATATCATGTTTGGATATTACTTCATTCGTATTCTTACATCTCATTTCCAATTCCAATTTCAAATCGTTGATACGTTGCGAATGTTCCTGCCATATATCGCTCGTGCGTACGCTCTCCTTAGCAACGAACGTCTTCGTGTCTTTCAATTCTTGGAACCAATTGTTTGGCGTGCACACGTGTTTACTTTGCTCGTCAGTTAATTCTCCCTCCAGTAATTTTAGCTGCTCAGAGATTTGTCGTAAATTCAAGGTAGTGCAATGCTGCATATCGTCAGTGATCATCTCCAGAGTATTCAACCTCCGATTCAGTGATGTGTGATTACTGCGAAATTCTTTGATCGCTTCCTCGATATTCAACTGCAATGCGGCGAAAGATTCCTGCTGAGAATGCAGTAGGCTTAAGTTCCTAGAGAGATCATCCTGCAAACGAATCCGCTCCTTTTCTCCCTGATCGACAGCTAAACGCAATAAGGTCAGTATCGAGAATACTTTTTCTTTCCACACCGAATCTTGGATGTCCTTTATTTGATTGTTTCTTATCGATGCTCCCTTGTCGCACATTTTCTCGTGTACCTCCAGGTTTCTGCGAGGAACGTAAACCCCACATTTGTTGGGGCATTCCTCCAAGACCGCCGCGCAATGTGTTATATGTTCCGTTAAATATTTCTCTTCCAAAAATTCATTGCAAAAATAGCAAGGCACGCTGCGACGCACTACCGAGTGAACGTTATTACTCATTTTTCGTTTTAATACGGACGCACTTGCGATACTATAATACGTGCGCCGGAGCGAACTAAAATGAAGAGCTGATAACAGTTCTCTGGAATGAAAGATTGTACGCTCTATCTGATAAGAGCTGGGAACCTTATCCAAAGACAGAGATAATATTACAGGTATACCCAAGTTACATAGCTGAATCACGCGCGTAACATATTAACATATTGCGTAAATGAAAATGCGTATCTTCGTGTGACTCATATATGTGTAATTAATAATGTAAATATTTGCGTGCGTTCGAGTATAATCGCGTTTTCTGCTAAATATCCTATTGAATTTAAAGAATTCCAACATACCTCCGTAGCCATAGGTAATCCAAGTATGTAACCACAAGCGCAGCTGAAAAACGTGATCGTGGTTTCCCAGAGCTTCATCATTTTCGTATTGATCGCCATTATACCAGTTATTACACAGTGCCAGATCGCCAACTAAAATATTGACAAAACTTTCAAACATATTTCCTTAATTATATATTATGACCACTAAGATTACGACTGTTTTTTTATCGGATGTTAGAGAATTCTATTTTTAGTATCTCTTACATCGAGAACGGGAAAGGGTTTACGTACCTGTTGTGCGATTCCAAATAAGATGAGAATGAAATAAAACAGAATTGCCCAGAACGGTGACACCTGTTCAGTACCTAACAATGCCAGTGTCGAAGGCACCAATTCAGTGGCTAACCGTAGCACCTGGTATCCGGACTCGGCACTTGTGTCCACGCCAGGTCGAATTACACGCTGTCCAAGAAGAAACGATGCGTGAGACATGAATCTTTCTGGCGTGGTGCTGTATCCTGGCGGTGCTGGTTCATTGGCAAGCCTCATAAACGTATACCCTGATATTCTCTCTGTGAAATCATCCAAGAATAATAACTTGTACGAACGCTTTCCGTGCAACGTTTCCGATTGCTCGAGGTAACACAAAACGGCAATTTACCGAAAGAACTAGTAGTGTAGATGTAGCCGTGAAGCCTGAGGATTTGTACGCAGGTATTCGCGAGGAAAGCTGCGAGAAGGAGAACCACAAACGTCAAGATCACCACGAGACTTGTATCGCGCTGTAGAAGATGCTTGTGCTTGTTATGAGCTGCTATCTGAAATTGGCAGTGTTCCAATGTATTCCAATGAGCAACTACCGATTGCATCGTTTAAGTGTTACGATCAATCGAAGAATAATCATAGGAGAAAGGAAATTGTGCTCGTTAAACAATCATCATAAGATTGTAAGCGATGATACCTGCATAGCGGCTGCACCGAGTAACCCCCATGTGAGGAAGACCTCGTTTGAGGCAGCCACCCATGACTTCCCATTAATAAAGAATTCGCTCCAAACAGTGGCAGGGAAAAGTTGGTGGAACGAGCCCGGTGGAATGAGTCCAATCAGTTTCGCGCAAAGGACTAACGTGCCAAATACAGGCGCTAGTGTGAAAACGTACACAACTTTTCCGTAAGATCTCAGTCCTAAATTAAAATAGAAATGATAAAAATTAAATCTTTTGCGACATATTGAACCAAAAGATAATGGTTTAAAGTTTATGTGAAATATAATAATGACAAAATTTTCTTTCTGACGCATCATACTGAACAAGGACATAAATGTTTGCTGATTTCAACGTTTTCGAACAATTACTTCAATATATATTCCTTATTTTGTTTTATTTTATAAAAATCAATACGTTAAAAGACTGTCACAAAAAGCTAGTGAAAGAAACTAGTATAAAAAAATTTTCGTAGAATTTCTCTTTTCGTAGAAAAAAAGATTCACCTTTACTCAGTGAAACAAACACAATCATCCACACGACGGCTAAATTGAAAGCCACTTGGAACTTCAACGTGACCACACCAGGATTAGAGTCAATCAAATGATGTCTTTGTAATACAGCACCGCTGAAGTAATCCGGAACAGTCTCGTGTAATTTGTACGAAGCGGTGGTGTTGTGTGTAAAACGGTTGTCTTCTCGATAGAGAAGAAACGGCTCCGCCCATCGATACTTGTCCTGCTTCGTTATGAATGAATCTCTGCAATCAATGTACCACGCATTTTGTCCTACTTGATCAACAAGGCATGACATTTCGATATTGTATCCACCGGCGGAGGAGCCTTAGAGACTCGAAAAAGTTAATGAGATCATTGCATCGTAAATATATATTAATTTCACGTTGTTTCCAGGACGTGTCTCTAAGGGTTTGCGAGTTCCATTATTTCTGTTTGACCTACTAAACTTAGAGTATGCAGGTTCAAATACAAACTCGTTCGTTTTGAATTTCATCAAAACTTAAAATGACATCGATCAAATTAACTTAATCCAAATCCAATTAACTTAATCAAAAGTATCTTCAGTATTTTATTAACTTATATAGAATTTAAAATTAATATATAGAAATACAAATAAGTAGATAAAGTAAATAGTGTAGATAGATAGTTTCTTGAATATAAATAACATTTATACGATTAAACATGAATCTTGACATATCATATAATTAATAATAAGAAAATTATCATATAATAACGTTATTAATAATGTTATTATATGATATAATGTTATTATATCATATAATAACATTAAATTGATTGATTTACTGTAATCCGTGTTTTTTAATTTTGTCCAAATAAAAAATCGTTAGTAATTTGATATGAATGTAAGGTAAACAATGACTTGACAAATATGGTCATTTAAACTGTTCGTAAATCTCATACAAATAACAAATTGCGAATCTCGAACCATGAACTGCACATAGTGCAGCGTTAACTTAATCCTTTTGCATTCGTTTTTTATTCTCTCCATTTACAATCTGGGTCTTTTTTGTACAGTCCAAGTTTTGATTATTCTATTCTCTGAAACTTTCAGAGTGAATTGTCACTCTGAAGAGTCAAATCCGTCAAATCTCACTTTTAAAGGGGTATGTTAAGTTAGCACCCCAACTATAGTACTCAGGAGTTCTGATTAGAGTTCCCACTTCCTTTTGACGAGACGAAGAGTTCCCTATAGTTAATAACAAGAGTTCTGCTCAATAAACCGTTGCGTTGGCCCAATCGCTTTTTCACCTAACAGTTTTCGATAGAACTCGTCGAGTACTATAAGAAACGCAACTCAGAACTACTCGGTACTCTCAAAAAATTTTCAAAGATTTCTACTATTTTTTTTAAACTTTATTATTCTTCAAAAATGTTTTTTATGTATCAAGAACTCTAGGTATTCACAAAATACTTGATATTGTTAAGCTGATCAGAACTATGCGACCTTGAATTTCGTTAAAAAGCTAGCACCCCATTTTTTAAAAATTATTAAATATGATTATTAAGCGCATATGTCATTAAAAATCATAGAGAACTCTTCGTATCGTCAAAAAGAAGCAGAAATTATCATCAGAACTATTGTACCTAAAAATTAATTTTTCAAAAATTTTTAATTTTTTTTTTAATATTCGAAAATTTCTTTTACATATCAGGAACTCTAGGCAATCGCAAATTGAAGCTATTAAGCCGCTCAAAACTATTCCACCTCGAAATTCGATAAATAGTTAGCACCTCATTTTTTAAAAATGTAAAAAAAATGTTTATTGAGCGGAACTCTTGTTATTAACTATAGGGAACTCTTCGTCTCGTCAAAAGGAAGTGGGAACTCTAATCAGAACTCCTGAGTACTATAGTTGGGGTGCTAACTTAACATACCCCTTTTAAAGGCTATAAAAATTGTGCCATTCTTTTTTAAGACACTGACATAATTTTTACACTTTAGAGTTAGATTCCACTCCAAAGAATTCAGAAAATAGGTTTTCAAAATGTGTGGAAAAATTCAAAGTCACTCTTCACTCAACATCTCTATATAATTACTGCAAATAAATATTTTAAGATATTTTAGGAGGGAGAACCGGATTCTGCCCTCTTTTATTTCAAAGAAAAGGAGTAAAATTTATCTTAAATTTGCAAAAAATATCCAGATTAAAAATGAAGGGTTAAGAGGTATGTTTTAAAATGTAGTTTTACATCAAAAATTTACCTGAAGAACACAAACATCCACGATACACCGACTATACTGTAGATACCGATGAATGCCTGCGCAACGAGCAAGGCTATTCCGACGCCTTGACAAATCGGAGATATACTCCACATATCTACGGAACCGGCCGCCAATCTTTGTCCAAGACATACTTGTAGTGTTAACAGCGGGATGCCCAATATAAGAGACAAGATCAGGAACTGTATCATGAAGTTTGCTGCAAAAAGAAAAGGAAGTAAAGAATAAGTTAAAATAAATTAAATTATGACTTTTAAAATCCAGTACAAGTGAAATGCTTATGTATGAGTCTCCGTGGTTGTTACTTGAGTTACATTTTTTAAGAGAATTTGCAAAAAATTAAAACGTATCAAATAAAGTTAATTTCTGATATTTGTTCAGCGTGCTTGAGATTCTTACATAATTATTTTAACGGTCCAACAAAATCATTTTCAAATCTGTATTTAATCAAATTTATAAATACTTCAATTAAATTGTTCTTTCCGTATAGCATCTTACACTTATATATTCTACTAAAGAATAAAAGATTAAAAACGTCGGCAAATGGGAAGGTAAAGAAAAATTCCTCACGCGCGAGGGACGAAGGAAAACGTCTCACGATTGAGAAACGTTGCTGTAAGTACGTTAGACGTGGGTATCCGACCGTTTCTTCAATAAAATCGGTCATTATTCTCGCAAATAACCGTGGAACTAATTATTGACATTACGGAGAGCACGCTGCGATATGAATTAATATCAACACGGCACGACGCGGTAATTTCGTCGGTTCTTGCTCGTTCTGGAAGGTCTTATTTCGCGTTGGCGCCGCATACGTCATGGGGACTCTACAATTTCGCGGACTGAGAGCCGTACACGACCCAGCAATAAGAATTCGATTGCCAGTAGTGCGCATAAATTTCGCCAGTCACGAGTATAAGCACGGAGATCGCGTTTTCTGCGTGCTAAAAACATCGAAACCGCGATCACGTCGAAACGGAGACCGGTCTCAGTTTCTCGCTGAAATCGGTCCGCGAAAAAGTTACGTGCGTCAAAAGTCTTCTCATCTCGCACGTACGACTCGCATCTTATGTCGCGAGAGAAGAAATCCGAACTTCTAATGAAGTCCTCCACGTGAGGGTCATTGCACGAGTATTGGGATAGAGTCTTATTCTATTTTATGCCAGAACCTTGCATTGCTTCAACGTGTAGCCATCTGTAAACAACGTACAAGAAAGAACAAAGCATACTCTTATCTTTCTTAGTGATGAAATCTCATTCTAAAGAATGAAAAGTCAGTCTTGATAACTCAATTTTCATACTTTAAGAGTAAAGTTTCACTTTTCTGAGTGATAATTCATTGTAAAAGTTTCACAGAGTAAACTTACCACTTCTGGTTACGCTGTGTTCTTTGTGTGTTATTTACGTTATGTCTTATGGGTATAATATGTTAAAGGAACGTAAGACTCGTAACATAAGACGGATACAAGGCAATATTCGTGCGGTGGCCCTGATAGTACATTTGTGGCATCTTTTTGTGGTTGACGCACGTGTTATGGCACTCACCTCCAAACTGTACGCTAAGAATAGCGAATCTGCTGATGTTAAAGAGTCCCAGAGTGCAGCCGAGGCACGCGAGGGTCGAACTGAGAGCGTGAGGCCATTTTCCCAGAGGATTCTCGTCTTCATCGTCGTCCTCGCTCCTCTCGTTATGCCTGTTGGCATCTCTCTGTCTCTCGCATGGCCTGGAACTGATATCACAAAAATGTACGATTATTAAAAATAATTAATTAATTAAAAGTAATTCTCGATATCTCGGATAAACACTGGAAACTATCGACTTTACAAAATTGTTTTAATTCATTTTAAAACAGCATGTAATTTAATTTCATATTTGAAAGAAAATGTGCGAAAGCGCAACTAAATCTTTAATTGACGCAGCAAGTCTCATTTACTTTGTAAAATTAGCAGATTATAGAGAGTGCGAGGTATTTTATCGTATACATCTCCATTTCCGATCGTAGTCTAGCTGATGCTGAAGATTTCTGCGGGATCATGTCAGTTCGCGGTGAAACTAGGTCGAGTGGAATTTTATCGCGTGTTGCTGTCTTAATACGGAAAGAGTCTTATCGCGTCTTACTATAAACTTATCCATCTGATCCTACAGAGATACACCCAGACGAATATACCCAGCGGAGCGTACATCCTAAGCTATGTTCAGAATTCCCATTCAAGTGCCACGAAGATATCATTTTATCCTTGCTGTTCACCGAATGTTAAACAAAGATATAAAATGATACCATAGGCGGTAGGTACTCAAGTGAGAATCTGAACGTGTTTCTACGCAGAAGACCGCGCTAAAATTAGCAGGAGTGAGAAATCTTTGTATCCCCGGCCTAATCGCTGTAACAAGCAATCGCACGAATGGTAGGGGTCCTCGTAAATCCAATAAGGCGGTCGTCGATGATACACGAAGGAAATCAACAGTGAATTACGAGCCGGGGGCTCTATCGTGTACTTAACGTGATTATCCCACCGGGGATTTAAATCACGCGGACACACCCGGTAGATCGCGCGCCTAATACCGATAACAGATGGACCATCCAGATTGGTACCGTTATCATGAGATGGAGAGGCTAAATAGAGAGACGGAGCGTATCACGATCGTTACGCGTCGAAGCGGAGATTCCTCCGTTCGAGAAGTTTCCGCCAAGTTTCGTCGGTGCGTCATCAAGCTGCTCCTCTTTATAAGGGTTGTGTGTTTAGGTGTGAAATATAATAATTTTCCTCTACGTGTATTCAATGTAAACTACGTAAATTATATGTTTTACGTGTCATCTATGTAAACAAAGTATGGATCATCGAAGCTTATATGTTCTTTCTCATTGCACTGGACTGCACTCAAGCTTCTATCTCGCTTATATTTTTATTTATCAATATTAAAGTTAAATATATTAAGAATCATAAAACTTAATTACCTTTTTCTGTACTGTGTTAGCCAATTTGTAATAATTTATACATTTTACATTGTTTGTATATTGTTTACATAGAAAAAATTTGTATGAACTTAACGTAAATAATATGTAACATTTCATGTAAACGTAATCTTGAAATATACGATACGATATGCTCACATGTATTATTAAATATAAATTAATGATTGTCGACTGATCAAATTTTTTTTTGTGTATATACTCGAAAAAAAAAGATCTTGGTAATATATAAAAATTTAGATGAATACAAATCTAAAAATAATTTTATCAATCCATCAAAAATAATTACGTATAAATCTCGAGCATAATGAATAATGTTATAAAAAGATTTGATATTCTATATAGACATCAATTTATATAGAACGTCTTACATAATTATTTTGATGGTCCATCAAAACTATTTTTAGATTTAATATAAATGTTTAGATAATTCAGCAAAACTATACTTTCTGTGTATGTTTTATGTGTATATTGATGCAAAACGTCAGATTTGAAGAGCAAAGACTTTTTAATAAGATATGTATATCTATCATTTATAATCAAGATTTTCGAATTAATATATACATTGTGCTCTTGGCATGGTTTTTTAAAACTAATTCTTGTTTCTTGGTAAGTCCCGGTTTTTACTTTGAAAAGATTAAACAAATAGAACAGCTTCAAATTCTATGGACCGTTTCTCTGGTATGAAATTTGCTGAACCATTGTTGATGATCCGTACCGTTTATTAACACTATTCTCCTCAAACTCCAATGCACATGTAGCTCAGGCAACAGAATTATTCTCAAGTTTAAATTAACACATCGTGATGGTCGAAACATCTAAATTTTCAAATTCTATTCAATTTAAAATAAACTTATTAATAAAACAAATGATCACTACTTTATTATACACATCGATTTTAACTCATAAGAAACGAGGACATGCACAACGTATATACAATATAATACCTGACTTACATTTAACAATCTCTTCTCGTAAATAATAAAATCCGAAATTTTTTGGCCTTCTTAATAATAGAGCTATACTGTTGAATAATCTTTTTTAATCTTTACGTAGATACGCAAAGAAAGTAATATTTGCTACTATATAATTGCATGATAAAATAATTACGGTTAAGAGCTCTATTTTTATATATTTATAATTATTACTGCCACAATCTTGTCTAATAACATTATAACAGTTATTAACTACAATTATTTTATCATGAAATTATACTCGCAAATATCAAGCTCTCTTCTCACAATCAGTATATAGATTCTGTCTTAATAACAATGTCATTTGATATCGAACACCATCTTGCAAAGCAAAGAAAATGAACGAAAGGTCATATAGGAGCAAATAATTAGATCACTAACTTGTAAATTATTTGATAATACATGTACGGATTGACGTCACAGCAATCTGTGCTGCATATTTATATCACAAAACATTAATAAATTTTGGAATTTTTCATCATCGATCGCCCACGTACGTATCGGTGCTTGAAAATTGAGAGTGGAAATCACGTGCCGCTAACTCCACGGCACGAATATCACAAATACATGTTAATTGTATGCCAGTTATAGCATGCCTGAACAATAAAAAAACAAACCGCTTGCATTAATAGCTATATAATAGATTACATAACATAGATAATAGAGTACATTCTTATCGATTAATTATATAATACCGCGAGTTGTACCATTATTCAATGTATATATATATATATATATATATATATATGGGGCATTGTTATCTTAAAGATTCAATATGAATCGCACGTTCCATGTACATAGAACATGTTTTAATAATAATCGATGTTAACGAATAATACATCTTCGAATTATTAAATTATTTATATGCATTTACCAATTACTTGTTAAATATAAACAGAAGCCGCTGAGTAAGATGTTAGTTTAACATTTAACTTATAAGATCTACGATTCTGTTTAATTACGAAAAATTACCATTTTAACATGGACTTTGTCTTTACGGACAGTTAACTCTTGACCAATCTATAGTATTATTTGCAGTTTCCCAGAAAAGCTTTATAAAGATCGTCGACACGGAATTGTTATCAGCTCGGCATCGTCGACGCAGTGCACCGAGTACCGAGAAAGCAGCAAAGTCGCTTTTTAAATTGACGTCATTGATATTTCGGGGCGCACGAAACGCGAGGTCCGAAGGTCGTTAAAAACGAAGGAAGTGACAAAGGGCGAGGGATCGATACAGCAAACCGCCGTGGTCACCGCTAATGACCGCGAACCCTGAAGCCCCTTCAACCGATGCCGCTCGCGATTAGGAGCACGCGAGCCGCCACATATTCTTGACACGATAACCACTCTGGTCTCCTTTCCTCTTTCTCTTCCGTTCACTCGGCACGACTGTGTGCCCGATTTTGCGTGGGTCAGTCCGATCGATCGAGGCTGACCACTTCGATGAAAATATCCCGCGAAACAGTTGAACCGGTGTCTCGACCCGATTACTCGATTAAAACGACAATAAAAACAAATTGGAGTATACCATTGAAATGCCGAAACGCAGAAAAAACGATTTAGCTGAAGTATCTAAAAATTGAGCTGGATACTAGACACGAAAAATAATTTTGAGAATAATCTCTCTAAGATTTATGGAATATATATTATAGAATCTAATTCTCTAAACTCAGTGGAATGTAATCTTCTTACGGACTCTTTTCTTCAACAAAAATTCTCTATAAAAAAAATTCAGTAACACATGCGCCACGGTACGGATACAATGGCAGCTCAAGAATCGAATGGGTATGGGAACATTGTTATAGAACTTTTAATAGGACCTACAATATAACGCCGAATCCGAATGGCATTGATGATCATAGACCTTTTAATCACCAGATGGAGCCACATTTTCGGCTCCTTAAACGCGAAAAATCGCGTTTGGACGCAGGTGGGATTGAACTCGGTTCTATAAAATCGCGAGTTAATCGCACTGAGTGATGAGCCACTCGACGCTTAATTCTCTAACGAGCAAAATCTCGCTCTTAGAAATTGACAATCGAGCTTTTTTTCAATATTGGCTCAATTGTCATTTTTTGTCACACTTTAGAAATAAATTCCACTCTACAGATTTTAGAAAGCTCGAAATAATCAAACGGATATATGATGGATTTGTTTTTCTTTTGCGCTCACTAAAAATTTTCTATGCAATAGAACTTGGAAATTCAAGCGTAATGAGCAATACTACAAAAAGTTTTAATATTCTATCTTGAACCAGAATTATTCTGTTTAACATTATTTTCAGATCTATATTTCTGATATTTCAGTGAAATTGTTCTTTCCGTGTATTTTTCGTATACAAAATCAATGCGGTCTATACGTTATACATCATCAATTATTAATTTTCGCGAATATCTCTTTCCACGAGAACTGAAGAAAATCTGTATTCGTAAAAATGGATTTGCAAAATTCTCATAATGGTGAGATCACAAAGAATTTTTGCTTCTAATATAATTCAGGATATTTTTGGGCATATCTTTCAATTTTTATCTGTTCGTTCTTACGTCAGTCAAGTGATGAGTTTAGCTCGACAAGACTAACTCAAAGGTTTCGCCTCATACAAACACTTACTTATTTAGAAGACAAGGCATTCCTGTTAGTGATTTACGGACTCGGGAAAATATTGATCGCTCGCTTGGTCTTTGATAAAATCCATAAAGTTTATCAAGGCAAGCGCGTCATATTAGGAATTTGATTGTGAGTAATTTCAGTGACATTGCCTAGCAAGGCTGAAATACA